CCCCAAAACCCCAAAACCCCAAAACCCCAAAACCCCAAAATAAAATTTAAGAGGTGAAATTAACAATTTTTTATAATAATTTTTAAAGATATGGCTATCAGGTATCTTAATCGCTTTATGTCATCTTTTAAACCCCCATAGGTTCAAGTGCAGTCAACCTTTATGAGATAATCATGGGCTCTACTTTTGTAAGACTCATCAGATGTACACTTGTAAGCAGTGCAAGACTGCAACTCATTTCAAATGTGATATTATTTTGGCAAGCTCGCTACAAGATGTTCAGGAGGATCTCAATTATGTTAAAGAGTTTATAGCTCAACTAGAGTGTCTGGCTTATCAGAATTCACTCCCACTTTACAACTCTGAGTTAAGTACAACTCTTGAAGATTTCAAACAACAAGTTGAAAATCTTGATGAAAATTTACAAGAAGCTTTGAAAAGGAATCTTCAGCTTAATTTTGTAGCTCTCGAGGCTGAGTTGGCACAGTAAGATCTTACAATTTTTTAATTTCATTAACTTCTAATAATTTGCTTACGAAATATCTATCAAACACTTCGCTTTAGGATACAACTCAGTCTCTCTGAAAATGAAGAAATAAGAGAGATATTATTCCTTTCAGCAAGTAGAGAAGCATCATTGCAAAGATCTCAGAATTTGAAGAAAGGTTTGTTTGATTACTAGTATTTAGCTGAAAATTCTAAAAAGATGCCTCAGCACCAAGTCCAAACAGACCAAGTAAAGAGAAACTTCAGAGCAAGAAACCAAAATGAGGCTGAAAATGCTTTCCATAGGAACTTATTAAACTTTGATAATTCCAGATTAAGAGACTTCAGAACAAATTCAAGAAATTTCACTAGGAATCTTTGGACAAAATTTAAGCAAAAGCAAAGTAGCTTAATAATCAGAGAAGGCTTTATGAAACTAAAAGTCAATTTCTGGTTGATCTTATTATCCATAATACTGATCTTAATGTTCCCTATGCTTACAAATAAATTCAGTGAGTATACCTCACAAGGTGAATTTAGTATCGAAGATTTATCAATGAAAGTAGACCAATTAAAAATATATACTGACAGAAAAGATTTAGAGCAAATAACTGAACTTAACAGGGTAAAGAAAATAGTTGCTAAACAAATTGATAAAGACCCTGATGAAAGAGGTAAAACAACATGGCACAGTTTTTATGACACAGCTAGCTTGCTCTTTATCTTAAGGTTTTTTGAAAACCTTAAGTTTTTAAAGAGAATTTATACTGTGATTTTTAGAGATTTGTTGTATTAGCCATAATATTTATCAAAGAGTTATTATCAGCTTTGATATTAGATTGTACTACCAAAGCAGAGATTTAACAAAGTTGATATAGAGCTTTGGCTCTAACTTCTACTGCGTATTTTAAACTGTAATAGTTTTTGAACTACAATATAGAAATAATTTAATTTCATTACAAAGAGCCTCAATAATTTTATTTTACATTTTTATAAGCTTCAAAGTAGAAAATTGTATGTTCTCGAATTTATTTCACTCTCACCTGAGATGTCCAAAGTCAAGATATTTTACTCATATAGAGTTTAAAAGTCAGTTTGTTCTAATGAATCTAAACATATTTGTTAAAAATGACCTTTTTACCCTTTATATACAAAATGTTGCTTTCTTTAGAAAACAACTGGAATATTTTATTTGCCAATACTGTTTAAAATATGACTTAGAGGAGCTTAATATTTTGAACTCATTTGATATTTTTAGAAACTTTACCAATTTTATTTGAAATTGTTAATAAATTTGGAATATAGAGCTCGCTCTTGATACTGCAAATAGTACGTCTAATGAATTTATGCAGAGCATGATTGATCTTAATTATCGTATGGGACCAAAAGAAGTGTTTGAAATGTACAATGTTATAGGGGGTCAGCAATTCCTAATAAGAAACTTTTTGTCCAGCTATTACCCTCCTTCTATTGAGTTTTTCTCGTTTAACAGAGAAATTAATCTTCCGAGAGCAGCATATAATTCTCACGGAAGAGTGTATTATAATCAATATGGTATACAGGATGTTATTCGTACAACAAAAAGCCAAGTTTATTTGAACAAACTGAGTTTATCTTATGATGATCTTTCTCAAATTATGAGAGCATCAGCAAATTCAAAAAAATTAATCATAAAGGATTGTGATATTAATGTATCCCCAGATCTCGATTTTTCCACTGATTATCCTCCAAAAACCGAATATCTGAGCTTTGAGAATACTAAACTGATATTGAAAAATAAGTCAAGAAATTGCCAAAATAACAATTGTCAATTAACATTAGAGGATGTTATAATCGCCATAAAAACTTCTCACTTTATCGACTCACTAAAGACTATCAATATTTATCAAGCAGGGATTTATACTGAGTATGCAGAAGACCTTCTGAACAATCACGGCTTATACAACATTGAAATAATTCAAGAACAGACAAGCTTTGCTGAAAAATAATAAATCACTTACACACCCAAATATCTTCAACCCCACAAATAATTCCTGGGGTTTTGGGGTTTTGGGGTTTTGGGGTTTTGGGG